TAACCCTAACCCTAACCCTAACCCTAACCCTAACCCTAACCCTAACCCTAACCCTAACCCTAACCCTAACCCTAACCCTAACCCTAAAACCCTAACCCTACCCTAAACCCTTATAGTACTCTAGCTTATACTATTAGCTTTATAGAACTAAGAAGTAGAGTAAAGAAGGAGAGATCTAGACTATAAGGACCTATACTAATAGATTTAAGTAGTTTAAAAAGACTACTACTTATAAATAGCATATTAAAAGGTAGCCTACTAGAGGAAATTTATAGATAGTCTAGAGAATGTATAGAAGGCTAATAAGTATACCTAAATGGATCCTAGATCTAGGGGTATTCCTATACTATAAGGAATTTAAGAGCCGGTTAATAATAATAAAGGAAAAGCTATAGTACTCCTTTAGGCCTTTTTCCTACTATAACTAGAGCCTAAAGGTAAGAACCTAAAAGGTAGAGAGACTTCCCTACCTACCTAGGTATATAAGGAGATTATAGAGAGTAAAGTTCGTACTATAATCTTCTAGTTAAGCCTAAAGAAGGCACTAGGCCTAGATAACATACCGTTCCTTATATAGTAGAAAGTATAGGAAGAGGTAAAGGGTAAAATTATAGCCTTATATAGGGCATCGTTACGCCTAAGCTACCTTTTAGATAGCTAGAGGACTATAAGAATAGTCCTATTATAAAAACCTAGGAAACCCGACTATATAGTACTAAAGGCCTTTCGGCCTATCTTACTACTAGCTACGATTAGTAAAGGCCTTAAAGTAGTAGTTATAAATAGACTCGCTTACTTAGCGAAGAGATATAACCTTCTTTTAGATAACTACTTTAGAGCTAGGAAGAAGAGGTTATATAAGTAAGCAATTAATGTCTTAGTAGAGCGTATATACGAGGCTTAGCGAAATAGGAAGGTTATATCTCTAGTAACCTTCGACGTCTAAGGGGCATTTAATAAGGTTAACCCTAGAGTGCTTAAAGTAAGGCTTAAATAGAAAGGAATACCTAAGACCCTAAGTAGCTAGGTAGAGGACTTCTATAGAGAGAGGATAGCTATAATTACTTTTAAAGCGTTTAAAAGCGAAAGGTAGTTAATCGCCTAAGCCGGCATTCTATAGGGGTTACCGCTATCCCTAATACTATATATCTTCTATAACGCTAATCTTATAGGGCAACCTATTAGTAAGATATAGGAAGCCCTAGAGTTTATTAATAACTACTCCCTATAGGTTATAGAGGATACTATAGATAAGAATATCTAGACCCTCTAGATAACAATTATTATAAGAATAGAGAGATAGGTAAGAGAAAGTAGAGCGACATTTAAACCGTTAAAAATGGGTCTTATCTACTTTACCTAAAGGGTAAAAGAGATTAAGTAAAACGGAGTTATCTAGTAACTATAGTTAAAAGGAAGGTAGGAAGAGAGGTATATACTCTATATAAACGCGGCATAGAAGAACGGGAAGAGCGGTATTATAGTAGTATAGGGGTATACTAGGAAGACCATTACCTAGAAGCGACTACCTAAGTAGGTAGCTAGTAACCCGACGGTTATAGAACTTATCGCTATTAAGGTAGCCCTAGTATACTAGACGAGGAGGAGACTACGTCTAACGAAAACTATTATTATAATAGATAGTAAATAAGCTATACGCTCTATAACGGAAGGTATAAGCCTATATAGATAATACGTAGTACGGTACATCTATAGGCATATTAACGCTCTCTAGGCTCGGGAAGGTATAACGGTTACCTTATAGTAGGTACTAGCCTATAGAGGTATATATAGTAACGAGTAGGTAGATAAGCGGGTAAAAAAGGCGCTAGAGAAGGGATAGGGAGAGGTAGAAGGCGTTATTACGTAACTTAGAAGCTATAATAACCCCCTAACCTCCTTAAGCATCTAGACATCTACTAACCTCCTAACACCTACTAACCCCTTAACGCTACTAGACCTATATAACCGTAACATTATAAAGTTAAGAATATATTAGTAACGCTATATAGGAGTCTTAAGAAAGATGGTCCTAAGGGTAGCTAAGAAGACACTTTAAAAGAAGCTAGATAAGACCTAGGTCTAGGCTAGGAGTATAATACCTTAAGACACGCTATATACCGGATTATATACGTAGAAGCTAGACGGAGCTCTCCTAGGTCCCTATATAGTAATAGTATATAACGCACTATTAGCGGAAGAAGCGTTAATACTTGCCTAGTGCCGGATAGGGCACTTCTAACTAAAGAGTAACCTATACCGGATGAAGCTAGTAGACTTAGTAGGGTGCGAATGCGGAGCTACGCGAGAAACTATTAAGCACGTTATATACGAATGCCCCCTCTTACGCGAAGATCGTTAAATTGCTATTAAGGTAGTAGGGCATAGGTAGAGGGACCTTTCTTACATACTCGGGGGGTGGAATCCCTAGGAAGACCTAAGAACTAAGTAACTAGTTAACGGGCTAAAGGAAAAATGGAAGGCGAACCTCCTAGCGGTGAAGGCGGTCCTCCACTTCCTTTATAAGTCCGGCAGGTTTGCGTGGCAGACGAGAGCTGTCGAGTAATGGGAAGCTAGAATGGAACAAGGACAGATAGGGACAAAGAAGGTAGAACTAATAGGAGACGGCTTATAGGTTTGCCGTAGAACCAAGTAGCCTAATCAATCGAATCAATCAATCAATCAATCAACCTAATGTTAGAACCGGAGTATAGTAGCGAATATTAATGACGTTCTCTGTAAGGCTTAACGCATCCGACTGTCGGACATTCCGGGTCATTAAAAGACAAGCGTGAGGGCGATCAAGACTGAGTAGATAGTGACTATAAGTATGTGCTGCTTGTGGCCACGCAAAACAACATTAGCCGTTGATGAATTCAGATCTCTGCCTCAACATGCTGCCATAACGAGACAATAGCCACGGCACCGGCAGACACAGTACTCCCAGACAGCCTAGAAATGTCAGTGACCAATGCACTCCAATACCCTGATACATTGGCCGTGCCGCCACTACCATACCAGCAGCAACAAGGTATCGCGCCATGGTGACGCTGCCCAGAGCGCTCGAACTCCACGTTCCGTATATGTCAATGATATAACTATAACTACTGACGAAGATAGCTGTCATAGAGTATCCGAATAGGACTGTAGATGCGTACGCTGACCAGTAGCTAACACTTTTGTAACTGGTCCAGGCAAGCCAAAAAATAGAAACGGCAAAGAAGGGCGACGCCACCATGGCAGGAAGAAGATGATCCTCTGGTTTCTTGTTGTGGGTCTCGCCGGCTCTATAGTGAGCCATGTTGATAAGCGGCATGAGTGCTACGGAGATCAAAGCACCAAGGCATATCCCTAGGAAAGCAAGAGCGGTATCTCCATCCGATAGACCCCAGGTATCTGTGAAGATGAACTCGAACCCATTGAGAAAAGTAAATATGACGACGTAAATGACGATCAAATAGAAACCTAGAGAGATGATGATGGGCTCTGTTGTAAAGAACTTGGCCGGTCGCGATACATTGTGTACAAGTCTCTTGCCAAGAGAGTCTTTGCCCTCGAGCTCGCATGTATACTTGTCGGAACCCGTGATAACCCTGAGATGGTACGTTCTCCACTGCACAATCATGGGGGAAAAAGTCTCAGGCAGGAAAAATAGGGCTACAAGGAAGATTGTGCCACTCTGTATCAGTCCAATCCAGTAGACCCAGCGCCAGGAGGCGTGCCCAGTAATCCAGCCGCCAGCTACGGGAGAGAGAATTGGAGAGAGCAATGGGCTGAGGGCGAAAAGTGGCCAAATTCTATCCCGATCTCCGTTGTCGTACAGGTCGGCGAGACTTCCGCCGTAAATCGATAGTGTCGAACTTGCAGAAACTCCAGAAAGGAAGCGGAAGATGATTTGAGCCGCAAAGTTCGGCGAAAGGGCGTCTCCGAGTAAGAAGCATAGATACAAAAAGGTTGGAACAAGATAGACGGGGCTACGACCAAGCTCTTCAGAGAGTGGCCCAACGGCGAGACTCCCGGCGGAGATACCAAGAAGGAACAGAGCGGTGGCCAGAGTCTCAGAGGTCTGGCTGACATGAAACTCCCTGCTGGATGGCTTTGTGACATTCGAGTCGCACGCAGAAACCCAACCCTGAGAGAATACCATCAGAAATAGAAGAAGTGTTGTCCACGATCGTTTCGAGCGAGACCAATTGCGGGGATCAGCCTGATCCAAACCATCGTCGTCACACTTCACAGTGATTTTGTCGTTGCCTTGGCCAAGACCTGACTTCTCACAGGCAGAGTCACCACGTGGTAATGATGATGGAAGCCTCTGTTGTTCAAGATCCAGCAAGTGCGTTGAAGAAAGTCCTCGGCCAGTCGGCTCGACATCTGAATCACTGTTGCGCATTCCATTGTGGGCGGATGGAGTAAGCGAGCTTGCAATGAGGGAGTCTCGCGAGTGTAGCAAGGTTGCATATCTTTTCTGTTGCCTGTATTGTAGAAGAGTCTGCATCGGGCTTGAGTAGTCGGTCGGAAAGTGAAGGATCGAAAAGTTCCAACTTCTTTCCCGCACGGCAGACAGCCATATTCATATGTTCGCAGCAAATCAGCCAATATGTTCCTCGATTGGGGAGACGGAGGAGAAAGAGTTACAAAGCTCAGACTGAAGATGTGACGTTTCCCGTTGACGCCGCACCCGGGATGAGCTAGTGATCGCCAGGGTGTCGTGACGACGTTTTCGAAGCTTGTCTTCCAACCACCGCATCGGGAAGGTAAGCACACGAGCAAGCTTTTGTTCTTTAGGGCGCGCGGTCGCTGTCGGGCCTCGTCGACTCACAGGTCACTTCGTCAATAATGCCCTTAAGTCTTGACAACAGTAATTAGTGTTCAAGTGATCAAGTCAACTAAAGTGATCGAATTTCGGTGTCGCTGCAGCGCAGAGACGTGTTGACAAGTGATGCGCCACAGAAATATGCTTTCGCAATAGCGCGGATGACACAGTATGTCACTCACGTTTGAGAACCCCATCGCACCGGTGTCCTTGCCGATAGCCCAGTCGTGAGTTTCAAGTGACATGCCCAACTACCTGACATGCATCGAAACGCGCCTTGAAAGCCTTGGCCAACAGCTGTGCTATCCCGCGGACAGTCGTTCATCGTATACAAGTAGAGCCGCATGAAGAACTTGGAAAGTATCTAACGGTATGAGCAGATAGACTTCCGGGGATCTGGCTGACCACCGATATGTCTTCTTTCTAATTGGCTGTGTACGTCTTGTTTTTGGAGCACATACCCACTAACCCGTCTTCCTCCCAAGCAGCACGTACGTTATACTTGCGAAAAAAATTCGAAGGTACCCAGTCGTAAAACATCGATATCAGAAACTCGGCATAGGATATTGAGAGCCACGAGCACCGCTTAGGTAATCAAAAACCATCGAGTGTTCGTAGCGACATATAGAGACTGCACCGAAGAAGAAGTCTACATGGTGCGTTGGCCGGCCGAGGTAGCAGCATTAATACCGTAAGAAAGTCATGCAATCCCGTTCAAAAATTCCCTCCGCATCGTTCGCAGACTTCTTCGGCTGACTCAATTTGGTCCCTATACTGAGTACCACGGTCTATGCTTTACATGACTTGGGGTTGATAGAGCGGTTGGCTATGTATAGTAATGAGTTCAACCTTCAGCTTTGCCTGGACTACTGTGCAATCCAGCTTACATCATCCAGGGACAGAAGACCGTTCACAGTCGGATCTGGGCAGAATATGTCAATCTCCAAGTTCGCACCATTAGAGATGCCCCGCACGTTAGGGACGTTCACCACAGCCCAACCATTACTAGGTTGGATGAGATTCTGACTGTAAATTCCGATACCCCCGTAACTGGACTGAATCGAGCAGCCCAAGTTGCTTTGATCGTACGAGTACGCGAACGAAACGGTGTATAGTTTGTTAGAGTCAGAGTAAACCGTTTGGATCGTATTGTTCCATTGACTACCGGTCGAACCCAGCACACTGAGAGCATGTCGAGTTAGTCATGAGCATCAAAAAGGTCGCGGACCTCCTGGTGAGTACTTACAGATAGTAATCGCCGGAATGAGCATTGCAGGGGTCATCGTAGATTCTCCAGCCACCATTCCTGGGCAATAGCTGCCAAGACTGGTCGCTAGTACCGCCTTCGAAGCCTCCTCTCTTGATGAGGTTCACGGGCGCTACGGTCGTTGTTGCGATGGCAGTAGTGGTAGTTGTGGTAGAGAACGTTGAGATTGTGGTCGCGGGTTGAGTTGTCACGAACGTGCTGTAGGGTGTGCTAGCAGTAGTGATCGTGCTGGTAGTGGTTGACCCAGTAGCAACGGCAGAACAGGCCTTTGAAATGCGGGAGGGGGACCAAGTTGAGATTGACGCAGGTGTCGCAAGGACCGTTCCGTCTCGCTTTGCATTGAGCTTGGAGGTCACCGTAGTAGTGGTTGAGCTGATATCGACCTCTGTTCCGTAGGTGGTTGTGATTGTGAAGCTGGTAACGACAGAAGTGAAGACTGAGGTTGCTGGAGTGGTAACGCTCACAACGGTGGAAACAGGTGGCTGGTATCTGATGTAAGCAGAGCAGAAAGCGGCTCCAGCAGTGCTCAGGTAGGAGACATCCGAAGGACAGCTAACATCTCCAGAATTGGTTGTATTTGACGAGATGTAGCTCATGTCAATAGTGTAATGATCGGGGCCGCGCCACTGGCCATTGTTGGTCGCGTAGCTGAGATCCCACGCTTGCGTGTACAATGAGCAGTACTGCCCCTGGTAGACACCATGTTTGTACAGCCCATAAGTGTTGTAGAATTGGCAAGTCTTGGGGTTGCCTCGAGATGGCGGGTGTGCAACGTTGTAGGCAGTTTGAGAGCTGGGAGCACCGTCAGCATAAAGATGATTGCAGGAGTGGAAAAAGCTTGCCTGCAAGCAGTGGCGCAAAGATCGGTGTCGAAAGGACCTTTGTTGAAAAGCTTCGAGCCCATGAAAGTGTCCTGTTCTCCGATTCAGTCTCAGAACATGCATTGTAACGTCTGGAAACAAAAAACTCACGGCGCCATTGCAGTTCAGAGGAGCATTTATCGCGGCGCCATTGAGCTGGACATTGGGCGTGTATCCTGAGGACGTCGAGACGATGATGTCACGTTTGGTGAGAGGATCCGCAAAGATATCATTCTTGACTTCCTGGATGGCGGCTTGTTGATTGTAATCGGTCGAGTTGTCGGGTGCGACGACTGGGTCAGCGCTGTTGTCTGCCAGGTCGAAATCGATGTCCTGGCGACGCACCCTGATTGCACGAGACTGCTCATCGGTCGGCAAGCCTTCGACTAACAGCCCGAAGGCCAGAGAAAGAATGGTAGGATTGATCTTCAGTTGCGAGGATTTACATGTATGTAGAAGGGTGGATGTGTGAGCTAGGGCGACCAGTAGCCCTTCTTTTATAGGTCTCCTGTCCAAGCTAAACGTGCTGCTGAGACGTTGCAGAAACCGAGCTGAAAACGCAACAAGCCATCGTTTTGACCGCCGTCGCAAGCCTCTGTCACTGATGTGGTCGAAGAGATCGAATGAGAAAGAAGCTTTCCACATAATGAAAGCGTGGTATTCTGTCCGCAGATTGAGTACATCTGCCTCTAGCGACTGGAGGAAGACGCAAACAGAGCCTGAGATGATGAATTTGCACCTTGGAACGATCTTGATCATATAGTCTCCATGGAGTCCAGCAGCGTGACAACGTTATGGGACTTTGCTCGTTGGAAGTGCTTTGCGGTATCTCGCATCATTGTGGACAGGCCGAAGAACGGTACTCGAGTCGCGAGAGGTTGGATTCCGCGAGGGGCGTGACACCACCTGACGGATCAAGCTGGTGCACACAACAAATGCGCTGGAACATAGCTGAGGAGGCGTTACGGATGTGCAGCCGAGCTGAGAATGAGACGGAAGCATTTGGAGTGGGGCACGTGTGTTCAGCAGTCAACAAAGCGCTATTCTCGGTTTCAAAATTCATTAGAATTTGCCACCCCCAACTTCGAACTCGATGCTCAGAGCAGCTAATTACCTGCTAATTCATCAATTATACAGCTATATACAGCTCTACAAGCTCTAATAGCTATAGTAATAGCTGTACGTCGTTGTTCTATTGATATACACTAGTTTTGAAGCCTCCTAGAGCCCTCGCTGATGCGCAGTATAGTAGTAAACTAGCTCAGCTCAATCCCTCTCAGCGACCACGATAAAACACTAGTTGAGGCCATGTTCCGCGACGACTGCGACGTCAATACAGTACTTAAAGTAGTTCCTCATGCTGCTCGGAGTACGCTCTACTAGATGCAGCGTAACTTTGAAGCCGCT